CTTTATACACTCCTTAAAAGCACGTAGCCAGCCCTCAGTGAGGCTCATTGCTAAGAGCTCAAACTCTGAAGTAGGACCACATGGCTCCATTGCTTCCTAGTGGATACCTGGGGTAAACTGACTTTCATCTATGCCTCAGCATCCCTGGCTATAAAGTCGGCCTATGTGAGGCATTTAGAACCATGCTTGAAGCATAATCAGTTTTCAGTAAGTGCTGTTTTGTAAGAGTAGGAACTCCAAAAATGTTCACAAAGTAAATGTGATTTTTTTTCATGTGAGTTAGAGAAACAGAAAAGCCAATCTATTATTTTACAGTGGAAAGTACTATAATGATAATTATGTTATTTATTCAATTTTTTTAAAAAGTGCCAGAACCATAAGTGGTATCTTCCAGACATTAGTTCTCATCATAATGATCCAGAGCTTGAATTTGCCCCCAAATTTACAAATAAGGAAGTGAAGTTCAGCGAGACTACTTAGCTTGCCTAAGGTGATGCAAGTGAGTTGCTGAAGTAGAATCTGAACTCAGGTCTCTCTTCTTGCAAAGTTGATTCCCATCACACAATTCTATGTCTCTGCTGCAAGAACAAGAATCCTAATGGAGCACCTAGTAGTATACCAGACATCAGGCTAATTTACATGACAAAATCACATGAATTAGTCCATTTAACATTTCAACAGCCCAGGGTACCCTTTTTGCATTTCAGATGTGGAAACTGAGGCTTGGGGAGCTTCTGAAGTAAATCATCCAAGGTTATATAAAAGATAAGTCCTAGAAGCTGAATCCGAACTCACAAAACCTTAGCCCTTGGCGACTGTGTGATATTGCCTCCCATCCCATGGCAGACGAATGTCAAGAAACTCAGAGGCTGAGAGGAAAGCCAGAGCCTGGATTAAAGTGGCTTTATATGTCAGGAAGAGGAGTTTGGATCTTTTTGTGAAAGGTCATTGTCAGATGATCAAAGGCATTCCGGCAACTTCTAATTTCCTCATCTGCTTTTCCTTCTGAAATGCTATATTGTTGCAGTTTGTATCATTCCTTTTCTTACAGCCTCCAGGTGGCTCCCCTATGTAATTGGTATAAAATCCTTCTGGTATCACGGTCTGCAAGGCTTTGCAGCCTGCAGCCCCTGCTTGCTTCCACCTACACCTACTTGTTTCTTCTTCATTCACAACGCTCCAGGCACAAGCTTTTCTGTTCTAGAAATGTCTTCAGTCAGGGCCTTTACACTTGCTGTTTCCCCTGCCAGAAATGTCTTTCCCTAGATCTTTCCCGAAATGGCACTTCCTTCACCAGAGTTTCCATAACCACTGACTGTGTCTACAGTAACATCTCCCTTTCATAATTTTCTGCGTCATTCCTGCTTTATTTTCTTTGTAGTAATTACCAGTATTGGAAATTAACTTTTTTATTGCTTATTTATTTATTGTATACTACCCCCATCCATCCCCACCTAAGCTCCACGAGGGCAAGGATCCTGTTGATCTGGTTCATGGCTATACCCCCTGGGCTGATGCCTGGCACATTATAGTACTTCATAGACTTGCTGAATGAATGAATGGATAGATGACTAAAGCTTTTACAGCTTCTGTAGTACCTAAAAACGTTAAGCACGTAATTGGAGCTCAAAAACGTATAATAGTAAAAATGATAACTAACGTTTATCAAGCTCTAATTATTGGCACTGTGCTAAATCCTTTATATGAATTATCTCCTATAGTCTTCACCACACCTTTATGAGGTAGACATTATTAATATCCTAGCTTTACACATGAGGAAACTCAATCTTTGCAAGAGCAAGCAATTGGCCCGAGGTCAGAGGACTAGTGAATTAGCCCAGATTCAAAAGCAAGTATAATTTCAGCACGTTATTCGTTAAGTGACTGATTTCTGCAAAGAGAAAACTGAAATTACCTCCATTTGGATTAACGACTACATAATTTCAAAGAGAATTCTTGGGTAGTTACTACTTGTGTCCTGGGGCTCAGTTTACAAAAACATGGTAGGTACCTAGGATCCAGAGGTGAATAATGGGATACAGTTCCCAACCTCAGGGCGCTCAGTTTAATTAAAAAAAAAAAAAATGCAAGTGTGCTAGCGTGGACGTCTCCATGACCCGAGCAGTCTTCCATCCCCCCAACAAAAACACCTGTATCTCTGGAAGATCATTCTCCTTAGTTATTCCCTTGGACCTTGCCCAGGTATTTAATTCTACATTCATTACATTATATTCTAATAGTTTAGCACTGTCTGGGAGGAACTGAATAACCACTAGTTAGTTACTGAATGCCTTCATGTAGCAGGTAATTTATAGTAGTCACTAACTGAATCCTCACAACAACTCTGAGCTGGGGGTGGGTGTCATCATTTCTGCTTTACAAATGAGCAGCCAACAGCTCTTTGGGGTGGTGGATTACAACTTGATGATTACGATAAGGTGTCTGATTAGAATGCTGTGTCACAAATACTAAGATAGAGGGATGTGTGTGTAAAGACCTATAAAAGCCCCAAGAAGGGAGTGGCTCTTAGCCTCCATATTCACTTTGATACTATAATTGTAACAAACATGAGACTATCTGGCTCTTTATTATCTTATTGGTTTTATGGTTAAACATTAATAAACCATGTATATCTCACTTTGTAGAATATATTAACAATATCTTTACTTTTGGGGGGAAAAGCACTTTTCCATTTTATTTTATATTTTTACCAAGATTAATATGTTAGAAACTTTTTTATTATAATAATTAGAACGCAGTCTTCAAGATTTTTGTATTATATTTTCCTGATATACAGCCTGCCATTTTTTCTCCTCCTGGGGTAGAAAAAAAGCACTTTTATTCAAGTACTTATACAGTTTACTTAGAATTATTCTGAACCAGTCCTTCCCTCTAGTAGAAACGTGGGTGTATGATAACTATTCATTTTGTTTTAAAAAATCCAGTATTAGAGTAGTCTTTTTCCATGTAACTAAATCACAACTGTCCGCTAAGAATGCTCAGTAAAATAAAGTTAGATTCTGAATGATCTACATGAAGGCATAAAGCCATCATCATCATAAAATAAAGAAATACAAATAAAGAAAGATATTAAAAAACTGGATAGAAATAAATGCTAACACAATCACTATAACATAAAAAATGTTAAAAAACATTTTTTAGATCTCTGCTGAGTATACAAAGGTGAGCCACTTTCTGCCCTGCAGTGAGCACATGACATTCTCCCCAGTAGCAGCTCTGTGGTGAGGGCCTGCTCCATTGAGAAGTAGTTCATTCTCTACAAGTGAAAGAGAAAGGGGAAACTTGAATACTAAAACTCTACTTGGTTAACTGCAATTTGGTCATGTTTGAAGTTTTGGAGATATTAAAAATCAAAATATGCTCCTATTACCTCTATGTTTGTAAAGCCACAATCCAGCTGGTATCCTGAGAGGCAAGGATACCAGCCTAATAGCCTGTTTACCTTCACAGAATCTTTAGAACTCACTTTACTCAACTCTCAACTCCTGGTACTTGTCAATTTTACATCACCAGGGCCTAGAGAAGAGTCTCATAGCAACTGCAAAGCCCTCTCCTTTTGAGTTAAATAAATATCCTGAAATTGTGCAAAGAATCAAAATTATTTCACTGAGCCCCATGAGAGACTATGTAGTTAGAGAGGCACAAATAAAAAGTTTTTCTTAATTACAAACTACATTTTGTGATGGTCCTAGAAACCAAAAATGGTTCATTGTTCCTCTTGCCTAAGAATTCACTGTGACATAACGAAAAGACTTCTCTTCCTCCGAAAACCAAAGGTACACACTTTTCTAGAATCTTAGGACAAAAACAAATAAATCTAAACATGAATCATATTTGTGACTGAAATATGTAGTAAATAAAGATTTTGAGATCAACATTACAGAAACTTATATTAGTGTTATAATTTATTCCTTTATCTGTAAAAGTAATATGAAGTCAAGGCTGATAGAATTGTATAAAACTGTTCCTGCTTCTTCAATTTTAACCTTAATACGATCACTCAAAGATCACAGAGATCCACAAGACAGAAAATCATCCTCCCATTTTTGTGGCAAAGTCCCTTGAAGGACAAAATGAATTCTGTCCCCACCTAAAAACAGTCTTGACTTTTCTATTAGGTACAGTAAGGACATTGCTTCAAGCCCACAACACTTTAGGATGTCAATAAAATGTTTTCTTTTCAAGTCAGAAGGTAAAAACAAAAATACATCAAAGAAAATGTTGAAATATATAATATTAAAATATTAATTTTCATTTCAGTACAACCATAAATACATGTGTGTATGTATAAGAAGAAGGTGGCCCATTTTGCCCCACAAAGTCCTCTCAGTTTTTTTGGGGGGGGGAATTATTTCTTACGTATCCCAGATACTAAGTTTCCTTTTTCAGCCAGGGAAAGTTCTCACCTCTTTGCAAGAAATTCTTTTACTTAATTTCTCTGAGAAAAGTGATTTGTTTTAGAAGTTTTGGGGAACAAATTTTAAATTAATATGTATTCAGCGAAGAAGTCTTTCCCGCAAAGTTAATTTTTTAAAGAGAAGGAGGAAGGTAGGAAGAGATTAGCACTTCATACGATACCCTGACAGCATGCAAGGAAACGCAATCTCCCATGCTTGCCTCAGTGTGGACTAAGGGCAGAACAGACTCTCGCTCCTCTTGCTCGCTTTATTCCACGGCCGTCCAGCAGGGGGCGCGTGGCTCTCAGTACCCGAAGCTGCTGGCTCCCCAGAGCCTCAGGGACCGTATCCCTATTTGCCCCAAGGTCATAGCTCCTAACCTAGCTTGCCAGTCCCGGGCCGGGGACACCAAGGAGTAAACCCGCGGGGCTGGAGACCCCGGCGCGGGTGGGGCCAATAGGGTGGGGCGGGAGGGCTCTGAGGCCAGCGATGCGGTCACAATGCGGACGACGGATGAAAGGCACCAGGGGCCCGGGTCCCGAGCAGTCAGCGCGGCCGCCAGACTCCGCGCCCAGGAGGGGGATGGGGTGCTCCTAGACGCTTGCCAGCCCCAGTCCCACCCAGGAACCCGGGAGCCGCCGCCGCCGCCACCGCGCGCGCCGAGAGCTTGGAGCCTCGTTGCCAGCCCAGGGACTCGCGGCCCGGGCCGCGGGCCGAGGGGAGCCGCGGGGCAGGAGAGGAGGTCCTGAGCCCAGCTGAGCGCCCGCCGAGAGGGCGTTCTCCCCGCCCCCGGTGCCTCGCCCTCCTGACCCGCCCCAAGCACTGGGAGATCACCTCCGCCGTCACCTCCTCCTCCCCTCATCCAGGTCCACCCGAGGCTCCCTCCCCCAAGCCGCCCCTGAACACGAAGTTGGCGGGAGCCTATAAAAGCCGGTGACGGCGCGACCCGCGGACACACGGTGCAGGCGCCCGAGCCGCCGCCGCTACAACGGCGCCAACTCCTGACCTGCCTCGACCAGCGGCGCCGCGACCATGGCCCATCACTGGGGATACAGCAAGCACAACGGTGAGTTCCGGCGGAGGGCGGCGCGGCGGCGGCGCCCGGGGCCCCAATCTCGGCCCCGGCCCCGCACGGCTCGCACCTGCTGTTTACCGCGGCTAGTCGGAGCACGCGAGGCAAGGTGTGCGCCCGAGTCTGCGCCGCCCGCTGCTCCCCGGCCCTGGGATGCCCGCGTTGCCCCAGCCCCCGAGGTCACTGTCGAGGAATCCCTGCGTCCAGCTGTGGCGCGCAGGGCCCGAGGGAGGAGGAGCGCAGCCTCAGCGTCGGGACTGGAGGACAGTTGTCCCCGGGTCCCGAGCCGGAGACTATCCAAACCCGACCTAGGAGGAAGCGAGGAAGGCTTGTAATGGGAAAATTTTAGTTATTGCTTGCAGAAAAATTAGGGGGCCCCCCTCCCCCCCTACACACTTCATTCTCAGCACCACCTGTGGCTAAGGCGCTCAACACGAACTGTCCCGGGGCATTTTCGTGGGCTGGTTTGAATCCACTGGGGTGATTTCTGAGTTTCCCCATCATCTCTTATCTCCTAATGTTAGGGGGTCACCAGAAACCCGGTTTTATCATGGCTACCGATCTGGGTTCTTCAGAGTCAACCGACGTAAGAGAAAGATGCGTCTGGAGCACCTTGCGCATCTGGGGGTGGTGTGGGGCTTCCCAGGTAGTAGGGATCCTGATGATTACAAGAGAGGTGCCCGGGCCTGAGCAGTGACTCGGCCTTTACATTCAGTAGGACACTAGGGAGAAATCCCAATCTGCTCCAATCTTAAATGAGCTTGAATATCCTAAATGCTATCCACAAGCCCTGACAGTAGTGTCTGCGCAATTTCAGTTGCTGAATTCAATAAAATGAGGGTAAACATAGGTAATATTCACATGGCACTCACTCTTTGTTCAATGACCTTTCATGTATTGATTCCAATTCTCACAACTTCTACGATGCAGATGTTATTACCCCATAATGCAAATGACGAAACTGAGGCACGAATTAAGGGTTTTGCCAGAGGTATTCAGCTAAGTGGTGCCACCAAAATAAGAACGGAGCAGATTGGCTCCAGAATCACTGCCCCTTTCTAGGGGCTGGGTGTGCCCTTCCCAACACTGGGGGATTCACAGGTCTCTTCTGAACGCTAGGACCAGAGAACTGGCATAAGGACTTCCCCATTGCCAAGGGAGAGCGCCAGTCCCCTGTTGACATTGACACCAAAGCAGCCCTTCATGACCCTGCCCTGAAGTCTTTGTGTCCTTCCTACGAGCAAGCGGTTTCTCGGAGGATCCTCAACAACGGTCACTCTTTCAACGTGGAATTTGATGACTCACAGGACAAAGCAGGTCAGTGTTTAAAAAATAACTTGTGCCTTTTACCCAGTGACTATTTTCCCAGCTTAATGGGAGGAATCAGGAGCAGTGGCTTAATACCACTGTTTGTCTCAGTCTCAGTACTCTAAGATGCAACTTTGCTAATCTTCATTAGGTCCCAGGCTCTGAGAAATAGGCTAATTACTTTGAAGTGGCCTGGGACTGTTGCTCCCCTATAAAATTCCTGGTTTCTATATAGGGCATTGAATAACTGTGACCTGCTTGTGAAAAGTCACAGAAATCAAGGTCGCCAGGAAGAGAAGATCAGCAAGGATGAGATTTGCAAAAACTGAACTTTTACGATTCTTTCTAAAATATTTGCTTTCCGGAATTGGTTTTATCCAATAAAAGTACACCTTAGTGCTCTCTTCAAGGCAGCAATGAGGGGAGTGATGAAAACCTCACTATTTAAAATAGTGAAATTTTTTGAAACATTGCATTTATGGATACAAATGTGATAAGAGGTGGCAGTATATTTTGATATGCACCCAGAAAGACATTCCACAAATGAAGATGTTTTAGAGTTGGTGGGCATTGACCCACCTGGCCCATTGCTGACTAAACCAATTACCGTAATTTATCTGTATTGGAGCTATTTACAGAATGCCCATTGAATGCTTCTTTTTTCTTATTTAGAAACAGGAGAACAATCCCATTCAGACATGGTAGCAGCTTTCTTTGCCCACTGGTTGGTTTAATTGCCAATGCCCTATTTTCCTGAGTGCTTTCCTCTGAAGGTCATTGCAAACACATAATGAGTGGTGTTGGTATGGGAGGGGGGTGAGCATGGGGCAAAAAGGGAACACAAACAGGGACGCATTCAATAATGCTGTCAAAATTTTGGAGTAATGACCGATAGTACTAATATATAATGTGTAATTATAACCACTATAACGAAGTTGACCATTCTTTTTTAGTAGCTATCCAATGTATTTGGTCCAGTTTGGAAAAAATCCCTCCTCTCCCCTTTAAAATTTTTCTTTTTGATACTTGGATTTCTGAGATAGTGATTCTGGAAGACAGTTTGATGGAGGATGATGTGGAGATCATCTAAGAAATGTTTTCAACCTACTTGTGCCCTGTGTGCACCTCCCCCCAGTACACACACATGCACACACATTCTGGCATAGTGTAATGACTAATTAGACTTTGATTAGATTTAGTAGAGGATGTTCACTGAAGACACTCCTGCAATCATTCTGCTACACTGTCTTCCCAAGTAAGCCTCCCACTCCGAAGAAACAATGCTCAAGTGATTAGGCTAAAGATAAGGGAAACAAATATTTTTCTTTCCTGTTAAGGATACTGTATATTTTGATTATAATAGGACAAGACCATAGGTCTTGGTGGTATTGTACGTATAAAAAGGATGCTATAAAATTTCACATTTAGTTATTTAAAGACCAAAAAAGTGAGCTATTTTAGTCTTTAGCTATCGACTTCTACAAAAAGAGACGCAGTGAATGTATGTTTCAATGTTGCCAGTGAGATCACTGTTTTCAGTGAATGTTATGTCCATCAGTTATATATCTCATTGGATGCTACATAGAAATTGAGTACTTTTTTGGAACAAGGAGGAAACAAATGTCTAACAAATAGAACCGGATGAGATAATTCCCTATGTTCTTTACAAATCTGATCATGAAATAATTGTTCCAGTAGTATATTATTCCTGGAAAGTGGATTTCAGCATTTAGTAAAGCAACTGTAAGCTTAGAATGGGGTCAGACAGTCATGGGATCAAGTTCCAGCCCTGCCACTAACTAGCTCAGTGGCCCTGGGAACAATAGCAACTTAATCTCTCTAATTTTTAATTTCCTTAACTGTAAAATTGGGGTAACAGTAATATCTACCACAGAGGAAGGATTAAATGGGACAGTAGATATAAAGCACCTAGCCCAGCACCTGGCACATAATAACTCCACACTAAGTGACCATTGCTGTTTCCATGTCTTCATATCATTTGACTGCTTTTATTAGGCAATTGCCCTAGCAATCCCACCTGTGATAAGATTTCTGAAGAAAGTTTCTAATGAGCTGTGAGATTACCTGCCATCCCTTGATGGGATTTAAAAATTTTATTTTTATATGTTCCTGAACATCCCATTTATCATATTAAAGTGTGTACTGATGTTATATGTGATGTTATTATATAGTTGTGTTTTGGCATGAATATGTCAAGTTCTGATGGATTTCTACACAGGCAGTAACTGATTAGAGCTAGCCACACTTTTCTAACTACTTCTCCTGGTGAGTAACACATATCTTATTAAAGCCATGTCTAGACTGTGAAAAAAGTGGTTCCAATTGGGTCTCAAACCCATGTCTTTAAAGACACACGTGTTATTCTCTCAGTTCTTATAAAACAATAACAACCACAAGAAAACCCTTCCTAACACCAATTAAATGCAAGGTCAGCTAGGTACCATGAAGGCAGGATAGAGGCCTGGTCTCTTTCCTGTGTTCCTAGAACTCGTGCTGGGGAAACATCCAGTAGAAAGACACAGGAATTACAGATGTGGAGAGTGACTTTGGCAAGCGCCACAAAGACATACATTGTTCCATTCCAAGGAATAATGGAAACCTGAAAGAGACTTAGGAGTCGTCCTGTGTAAGTCAGCAGAGACTTTCCAGGGTCAATAAAACTTGTGCTGAGGCTCGAAGGATTTTGGTGTCTTGGAGGAGACTCCAGGCAAAGAGAATTTGGAAAGACCCGGGGATTTGAGAGAGTGCAGTATTTACTCTGTCAAACAAGGAAGAGTTAATGTTAGAATGACCTGCTCTCTTTTATGTAAGAAAGATCCCTTTGTAACTTTGCCCAAACCTCTTCAACATTGTCAGTTGTTTTGGTTAAACAAGGAAGCATTTTTTTTCCTAGGACGCAGACTATGTTAAAATGTTGGCATTGAGGAAAAACCCATCTATAGAATAAAACAATCATACCATGCAGAGAAACACCCTTTAGACTTTTTTTTAAAAGAATCTTAGACTCTCAGGTTAAAACAGGTGATGGAGATACTCCAGTCAAATTCATTTAAAATAAACATGAGGAAACAGAATGCTAAGGAGTTTAAGTAACTTGCTAGTCATCTCCTTTCTGGTTTGTCGTTGTGAGACTCAATGCCCATCACTTAAAAAAGGAAGTTGAATGAGAATCTTTCTCGGCCTTTTGGCTAAGATCAAGTGTGGATGATAACCATAGTTAATATTTAATGTGTACATACCATGCTTTTAAAAATTGATATGCTTTTCTATACATTTAAGTCTAAAAATAACATTCATTTTGGTCACTCGATATTTTAAATCAACAACTTTTTGCTAGGAGTTACTCCAATGGCATTAACATTTTTAGATATCTGTTATGTCTTGTTTTCTACACTTAAGTGCTTCAGTTCATTTTATTGATTTTTATTTCAGTGAGATTTCAGCCTTCTAGGACTTCTCATAGATTTGTTTTCAAATATATCCTAAATATTATCTTAGACTCGAACTTGAGTACTAAGGTATCAGGAACTGAGCTGGTTGAGTTTATTAGTATATTTACGCTTGAGAGAATTCTTTTTAAGTGCGGAGTTAATAAAAAAATGTGGGGATAATAGTCTTTAACTGGAAGCTCTCATCAATCTTCTCAATTCCTTTAAAAATAAACCACCTTTAATTAATGAAAAATTGCTAATCCCATTAGGCTTTCAAAAAATTATTAAAAAATAACTCTGCTTGAGTTCCTTTATTACTAGCTTTATCTGGGAGAAAAGAATACTAGTCAAATTATTAACTGCTGCTAACTCATTAACTTTTAATGAGTTTAAAACTCTCCTGCTTTATGGCAATCTTAGAGGCAAATACTGAAAAACCAATGCCCGAAATTATTGAGCCCATCCATATACAACTTTCATATCATTTCTGTTCTTTAGAAATGGAAATATTTTTATCTGTTTATATTATTTCAAGAAATAAAGAAGGAAACAGACAGCTTACCTATGATCATTTCAAGCAAACCACTGCCTGTATGACATAATAGAACTTCATACATGAGTCTTGCTTGATTTTCAAGGACTTGCTTTTGAAACTTTAAAATTATCCTTCCATGAATAATTTTAAGTTAAAAGGAAACAAAATAACAGCAAGTGAACGGGTTTGCCATGCATACTGTTAATGGAGTAAGCAGAAACCTAAGTATTTATAAAACTGACCAAACCATTCTAAATACTGTATTTAATTGTTTATGTCAAAAGTTTCTTTTTTCTTTTTTTACTCTCATATAATTTCCATATACCTGAAACTAAAAACTTCTGTTCTCTTGATTTTTAATTGTTGTTTACCCTAGTGAAAGTGACAGCTAAACATCTCACTATTTAAAAGAAATGGATTGTGGACATCTTTTCCTCATTCATTTTCTTGATTTTAGTATGTCAACCCTAGGAATATTGGCTACTGCTAAAAAAGCAAAACAGCAATGCATGATTTAATAATTTTCAAATTATTCATAAAAGAAGATTGTTTACCTGCTGAAAAATACCACATTTTTAGTAGACTTAGTCCTTTACTTCATTAATAAGAAATCCCTTAAATATGAATTTTAAACTAAAGATTATTGGAAATGGCTTATTTGTATTTTGGATTTAAGAGAAATTTTTTGTATTCATTAAGGTCTTTAGTTTGTTATTTGGATACATCTTATGTTAAGTAATAATAAAGTGATTAGGAAAAAAAATTTAAAAATGTTAAATTTTCAGTTTTTAATTTGTGTAGTCTTACTTATTACTGGAGTGAATGTCTTAATTTTCACAAATAATATAATTTACATAATTTCCCTAAGTAATACGTATAGGAAAACAGGATTCCTATACATGAATATGTATAGGAAAATATGTATAGGAAAACATAATTTCCCTAAGTAATATGTATAGGATAACATATAATATAGTTAGTGCTTATTTTGTGTGTTATGCATGCAGTACGTATAACTGATGGCGGACCATCGAAATTAAAATTAGCTGGAGCTCTTGGTGTTGAGATTTGGATTTAAATTAAGTTTTAGGAAACTTGAAAAAGATATCCTGGTAGAAAACCCCATTTGTATCTCTCCATCCCTGTGGAACACATTGCTGTGATATAATAATCATTGACTCTTCAGAGCCCTCACTAGCAGGGCTGGATTTTAAAGAGGAAACATATACTGAGTCTACAGATTCTGCTATTTTTTCAAATTATTTTTGCATCAGAAAAACAGACTTCATTTTAAACTGGGGCAGTTTGGACATGGCATGTAGCCATCCAAGTAAGTAAATAAATAGTTCTGCAAAAAGTGCAAGCTCCCTATCTTTCAACCAAATGTTTTTTTTTTATTTCACAAATAAAAAAAATATATGCTACCTTTATTTGAGTTTGTAGTGATTATTATAACAATGTTTTTGGGAGGACTTCATTGACTAAACTCCATGCTAAGACTTTGAGAAATAACTAACTAGCTGAAGAAGAGGAGAAATGCTTCTTTTTGTAGCAACTTATTTTTAAGAATTTAATAACCTCTCCTAGGTATGACGGGCTTCTAATCTACATAGCAACATAGTTTTATTTTAACAGGAGCTAAAACAGGTGTCTGGTAATAATAGATTGGCACTGAGCGAGTTTAATCATTGAACCTCGAGCATTTTTTAAATATTAGCAAAGCTTATTTAATAAAAACTCATATACATTCTTGCCTAATTCTAAACGTTCTCCGAAATAAGTAAATTAGGCTGGAATCTTAAGATCTACAAGGGAGTGAATAAGAATAAGAAACAGCAGATCAGCTTTATTATTTTTAAAATTTAAGATTCTGATATGATTCTTCACAAGGGAAAGGAGATACATTTAGAAAGATAAGTTATATCTTGAATGCTTAATATGGTGTTATTTCGTTTATTTTGCCACTTGGTAGAATTAATGATGTTACAGAGGATATTTGCTTTTTGGGATCAGCCAATTAGTAGCTTTAAAGTTATTATAAAGGAATTATTTCAGTACCAATTTATTTCATAAGTATATATTTTGTTTTGAGGTTATATCATCATGAAAAATGGGAATTCTCTTGTTTTTGAAAAAGCTTAGAGTTGGGGGCAGATAAGGCTAATTCTTTCCTTACAGAATAATTAGATTAAAAGAAACTTACAATAATTTGTTTTTAAGTTTCAAAAGATGTGATCTTATCAGAATATATCCAAATTGGTGTTTCTTACCAGATCTGTAACACCACTTATAATTGGTTCTTTTCCTTTTTTTTTATTCCTTCTTTTTTTCTCCTGGCCTATTGTAAGGCAGAGATGGCAACCAGAGATTGTATTAAGAACCATAAGAAAGGCCTAAATGTCTTCCAGCCAGCTCTGTTTTTTACTTTGGTTAGATGAATGGGTATTGCTACCATCTATGTGTATTTGGGTGAAGTTAAGCAAACTTGATTTTACAGACTTTGTCGCTTTGTTTTGCAAAGCCAAAGTAAGTTTAGGTTCATTATTTTATAGAATTATAACTCAAAGCTAATAAAATACACTTATAACAACAGATTGTAGAACTAAATTAAATTTTAAAATCTTTTAAATATATTGGTAAAATTTCATTAATACATTTAACTTAAATAAAAAGTTTTATGGGGAGGATGGGAGAAACTGATTTCATACTATTTTAATTTTCTGTAACACACAACTCATTAATTATCTGCAAATGGACTGTGGTCTAAGAAGATGACATCTAGTCATATTCTTCTGTCTTGTGTTTTACTCTAACAAAGTCCCATTAATACCAGAATAGTAGAATCTTAAGACAGTTATTAAAGTTAGAATTTTAAGGTTTTGGAGACAATAGAGTACTGAATTTGTTAGATGATCAACAAATTCTTAGTGAAGTAATAAACAATCGAACATATCCACTTTACAGATGAGGAAATTAGGGTCAGAAATATTCAATAAAAAATCTACTGGGAGGGGCATCTGGGTGGCTCAGTTGGTTAGGCAGCTGACTTTTGGTTTTGGCTCAGGTCATGACCTCAGGGTCCGGGGATGGAGCCCCCATCAGGCTCCAACGGAGCCTGCTTGAGATGCTTTCTCCCTCTCCCCCTGCCTCTGCCCCTCCCCCTACTTGTGCACCAACTCTCTCTCTCTCTCTCTCAAATAAATACATAAATCTTAAAAAAGATTTTTTAATGGGACAAAACTAGTTAGTACCAGTGACAATCCAAATTCTTCAGAATTTGGAAAGCCAGAGCAAGGAAAATTGGATATTCTACTAAGATCAATAGAATGCTTACAGTTTCACAAATTCTGTCACGTAAGAACAGGCCTCAGAGGTTAGCAAAGCAAGTGGTAGGACAGCCGCTGGGCCATGTAGAGCAGAGGTTCCCACGTTTGTCAGCATGTGCCACAGAACTGCATCGGCAAGCAGCTACATGGGCCCTTCCTCAGTGATTCACAGAGGACTTAATAACTCCATCTAAAACTTCCTCTCTCTGAACCAGCACCTATGACTCCAAACCAAACCCAGAAGAGAAGTATCACTGTGCTCAGAAAACAGATGGGAGAAGCACCCATCCTTCTAGACAACACAAGTGAGGAGAAAAGCCAGCTGAAATGACTTTGTTCAGCACTATAGACTAAACTTGAGTCTGGATTTAATTTTCACAGAGCAAAAATGTTGCTATAAGCATTAATTCAGAACTATGAAACAGGATTAAGTTAGATTGTAATATTTAGTACTGTGTGTGTTTCATGTGCATATGTATGTATATGTGTGTATACACGTGATTGTGTGTATGTATATGCATTCATATGCACATATTCACTCATACACACATATGCACATGTATAATATACATATACATATATTATATATATATATATTTTAAATTTTAGTGCTGAAAGGAGGACCCCTCACTGGCACTTACAGATTGATTCAGTTTCACTTTCACTGGGGTTCATCTGATGGGCAAGGTTCTGAGCATACTGTGGATAAAAAGAAATATGCTGCAGAGGTAAGATATGCTTTTTTGCTTTCCAGGGAAAGATATAAATTGATATTCAGCATTAATTTCAAAACCTTAATTTTGTAAATTCGACTCAATCCAAGTGAACCATTTTTTTTTACAAAGGACCTTCACATTTACTTCTTATAACTTTTATTTGTGGTATTACAATTAATAGTGCAAAACATTCTCTACTACTTCCAAGGACATCATTTGCAAAAAGTAAAATGAATTCCAATTGGAGGATTCTGTTTTAATATAAATCTAGAAATAAATTTTGTGTCTTCCCGCAAGAATATGTAACTCTTTGTCTTAGAGTTGACAAAGTCACTTGCTGTTATGCCAAATAGTGGATAATTAGAATTAAAATGAAAGAAAAGTTTATATTTTAAATTATCCACATGTTCACTTTCTTTAATAACCTCTAGCTGTGAAGAAAAGATCACTGGATAAAATCTGTAAGATTTATTATGTGTATCATTCATTGTGGTTTTGTCTCCCACTGCTTTAGCTTCACTTGGTTCACTGGAACACCAAATATGGGGAGTTTGGAAAAGCTGTGCAGCAACCTGATGGACTTGCTGTTTTAGGTATTTTTTTGAAGGTTAGTTGATGGCCCAAATTCTTTTTTTCCCTGTTTTTGAGAAAGATTAACCAAACAGAACATTCATAATAGGACATTCTACAAAGAGCCGAGGAAATGCCTTTGGCTCCAAAGTATTTTGAGGCTTCTGTCCCCCTCCATGTCTGCTAGATTGAGGAGATGGAAGACAAAGAAACAATCTGAGAGGTATTCATTAGGTGCTATTTATATGTAAATGTGAAGGGTGTATACATGGGAAATGTGAAAGGAAGAAGAGGTATACTTCAGATGACTACTGGTTTTTGTTTTAAAATTCATCCTTAACTGGATAGTACTGTTTCTTGATAGACTGCGAAATTAAGATCAAGTTTTGGAGGGCTCAGGGGCAGTAACTCAATATTGGAGAATTTCAGGCAACAGTGGGACATATAGGTTGAGCTGCCCTCCAGACAGTTGTAAAGCAAGTGAAGAAAGGCTGGAGATGCATGGGGCCTGACATCATATGTCAAGGTGGGAGCTACATGTGAATATGAAATCATCCAAGGAAAGCATGAAGAGGGAGATGATAAAGCTGCTGAGCATGCAGTCCTGAGAAGCTGCAAAATATTAAGACATTTAAGGCAGTGGGAAAGATGCTAATGAAAAGACTAAAAAGGAATACAAGAGTTAAGGGAGAGTGCTGAGGCTGGAGGGCAGAAGGAAAGCCAAAGGACAGAGAATTTCAAAAAGGAGAGAAGTCAATAGTATAAAATCCTGCAAGATTAAGGTAAGCACTTGAACAGTGTTCTTTGTTTTGGCAGTTGGAAGTCAGTTAGAGGTCACTGGTGATTTTTAGAGGGTGGATCAGGGGAACCATGGGATGGGGTCAGGGGGGACTTGGAGGAAAGTGGTCAGCGAAAGTGGGGAAGTTCATGGTGCCAATGTAATCAGAGTAGGATGGCTAGCTGGGTGGCAGGTAGCAAGTGGGAGACTTTGGTGCACTACTTGGAAACATTTTATGGTAGAGCTGCTCAAATCATCACTGATGTAGCACCAACCGGATTACAGTACCTTATATGTTGTGTCTTCCTATAGATTGGTGATGCCAGACCAGGCCTACAAAAAGTCCTTGATGCACTGGGTTCTATAAAAACAAAGGTACAGTTGAATTTTTTGCCACCTCGATAGAGTACCTATTTTTTTTTTTTATTCCACTGGTTTTAGGAAATTTTTTGGATCAAAATGAATAGTCTTGGTTTGACATGTGGTGTTTCGATGAGGAGTTAATAGAAGTAAAATGTTGCTTATATATTCATTTAACTTTTCTATATCCAAAAGTTGATCCTAATGCTAGCATAATTTTAAGACTTACATTTATTTAATCTTGCTTCCCCATCATTTGAACATTCATATTATAAGAGTCAAAGAATTCTCATGACTGCAAGGAAATTGAAAGATCATCTGGTCAAATTATTTACTTATTCACGCAGCAGATATTTGTTGAGTACTTACTCTGTGCCAGTCACTTTGTTAACGTAGGAGATGCAATGGTGAGTATGAAGAATAATCCATCCCCATGTTTAAATTCTCACTACGGCAGAGCCACGTTTAGGTCATTGAACATCTGCTAAATACAATCACCAAGGTCAGCCCTGGCTTTATAATGCTCATTTTCAAACTGAAGTCACATTTATCTTCTGAAAATCTCACTCATTACTCCTAGCTGAACCCTTTGAATCATGTGGAATAAACCTGATTCAAAAACACTAATTTAAAAAGATATATGTACCTTCATGTTCATTGTAGCATTATTTACAATAGCCGAGATACAGAAATAGTCTAACTGTCCAAAAATGGATGAATGGATAAAGAAATGTGCACTATATATATATATACACATATATATGTACAGTGGAATATTGTCCAGTCATAAAAAAGAAGGAAATCTTGCCATTTATGACAATGTGGATGGACCTTGAGGGCATTAGGATAAATGACATAAGTCAGACAGAAAAAGACAAATACCATATGATCCCACTTATCTGTGGAATCTAAAAAACAGACAACAAAAACAAAAACACAAAAAAGTGAGCTCCTAGATACAGAAAACAGATTGGTGGTTATCAGAGGTGGGAGGAAGTAGCTGAGGGGGGTCAAAAGGTACAAGCCTCCAGTTACAAAATAAATAAATCAGGCACCTGGGTGGCTCAGTCGGTTAAGCGACTGCCTTTGGCTCAGGTCATGATCCTGGAGTCCCGGGATCGAGTCCCGCATCAGGCTCCCTGCTCAGCGGGGAGTCTGCTTCCCCCTCTGACCCTACCCCCTCTCGTGCTTTCTCTCTCTCACTCTCTTTAAATAAATAAATAAATAAAATCTTTAAAAATAATAATAATAAATAAGTCATGGGGATATAATGTACAGCATGGTGACTATTAATAATATTGCATTGCATATTTGAAAGTTGCTATGAGTAGATTTTCAAAGTTCTCATCATAAGAGAAAAAATATTAGTAACTAGGCATGGTAACAGACTGTTATGTGTTAACAAGTACACTTAATTGTGGTGAACATTTTGCAATATATGCAAATATCAAATCATTATGTTGGGCGCCTGAAGGTAATATAATGTTATGTGTTAATTATACCTCAGTAAAACAAAACAAAATAAAGTAAAAAATGTGATCCCTCTTTCTTTTGACCCCATTCTCTAACAGCATTTTACCTACCCTCAGACTAGTTATCTTTAGTGCCCTTTATTCCCATACAACGATTTTCTCCTTTGTAACAACCTTGTCCCTCTACTTGTAACTCTTACTGTGTGCATCTATGGCTTTAAGTGTAGTGTCCAGAAAGGAAGGTGGTTCTTTAGTCCTGACCTAGTCATCAGATAGAATAGCAAGACAATTATCTCCCCATTAAGATACCATATTTTTGTTACTGTGGCCTAAAATTATATTATTTGAGAGGCAGCAGTTTCATTTTAAATACTGGATCTGATCAGTTAGTAACAATGGAAATGATAAGGGATGATTTCAGAGGACAAGATGAGAATTTGACCTGTGAAAATTATAGTCAGGCTCTCTTGCCCATATCTGCTCATCTGTATTTCCAAGTCAGATATCTCTGTTAATTTCTTTTTTACTTTGTCTCCTGATAAACATGGGACCTCTGTTTAAAAGAAAAAAAAAAAGTTCTAGCAACCAAAGAGGAATATGTCTTTCCCACTCCCCTGCCTTCCTCCCGCTCTGATCACGTGGCATTTGTAACCCGTGTGTTTGCCTTGTTCCAGGGTAAGAGTGCTGACTTCACTAACTTTGACCCTTGTGGCCTCCTTCCCGAAAGTTTGGACTACTGGACCTACCCAGGCTCACTGACCACTCCTCCCCTTCTGGAATGCGTGACCTGGATTGTGCTCAAGGAGCCCATCAGCGTTAGCAGTGAGCAGGTCGGTTTTCTAAAGTGAGGTAGAGCATTTCTCCAGGCAGTGGAGCTTGGCTTTTGGATTCGCACAGACCTGGTGTTGAATCCTACTGCTGCTTCTAGCTGTGGAACTAGCGTCCATAACAGTGCTTCGCAGATAAATAGCATTCAAGAAATATTTGCTGTGATTAGCCGTAACTTTAGGCAGTTTGTTTGCCCTGTAAAGGATTAAGTGAGAAAGGTGTCTGTCACCTTTTATGTAAGCTACAAGGAAACTGAGACCCTGGACAATGAGATTTCACATTCAAGGTTACATAAATATCAGTGGTAACTCACAGCCAATGGCTCACTCACATGAGAACTTACGGCAGTTTTATTTCTATCAGAATATATTTCTGAGTTCTGACAAAAGTAAAAGCCATCCCTTGGAGAAAAAGTATCTATCAAAACTCACTCCAAATTGCTTTAACAGCCCAGACCACAGACTCTTACCTTTCCCATACAATATAGTTTATGAGGTTCAAGTTATTAATGTTCACTGTCAGTGACTGAGAAGCTGCCCACCGACTGTCTCTATTCCCCCCACAGTTGAAATGTAGAAAATGGACAGTCCTCAATAGGATCCACAAGAACTTGGATCCTGGATAATTTAACTAATGTTACAGTAGCTGACTGACATTGAAATTGACTTTGAGGATTGAGACTGAGGGAATATTACTGGACCAAAGAGATCATTAAAGGCTATTGATTTGTGGATTGCTTTATTACTGCCCAAACCACCCTTCTTCATTTAGATCAAGATTTTTGAAGGGAAAGGGAAGGACCACTTTGCAAAAAGAACCTCAAAGCAGTAGGAGACTGATTGAAGGCTGTCTGTGTCACATCATTGGGCCAGAGAACTAAAACGAGGTTAAAAGGGAATAAAAATCAGCCAGTGTCAAGGATTTGAAATCCCAGTTTGGGCAGATTCATTTATGTGTTTCTATACATTGAAGCAGAGATGCCCTCCAATCACTTATCCCTTAGTGGATCTGGGACCACTTTATCCAATAGTATAGATGCAGTAGTTTATCTTCCTGGGGCAGAAAACAAAACTCTATAATTTGGATCTAGAATTTTTATTATTATTTTATATCTCAGAAGCATTTTATAGGCTTTTGATGTTTGATTTTAAAATTAAAAGGGAAAAAAACAAGCTCACTGACAATTTCCTTCCAGATGACACCAACAATCTTGTCTGTATTTTCCAGAAATTGATTTGTTATCTAAAAGCATACATATATTATGTTTATGTGATTGTATATTTCTTGGGAACCAAAGTGAAATTTGAACGTTGATACATACATAGTATGGTGAATATTGGTGAATATTGGAGAATAAGCACATAAATGAATACTATTGGGAAACTTGTATTTTTAAATTTTTTAACCTTTTATTTTTGCCTTTTAGATGCTGAAATTCCGCAGGCTTAATTTCAATAAGGAGGGCGAGCCTGAGGAACTGATGGTGGACAATTGGCGCCCAGCTCAGCCCCTGCACAACAGACAGATTAAAGCATCCTTCAAATAGGATGGCCCCAGAGCCCACAGCCAAAGAGTGGATCTTTGGGCTTCCCCTTAGCTAAGCACAAATCTACCTTGGTAAATTGGACCTTGGCTGCTTTGCATCTGGTTTTCTAGATCCTTTATCTCTCACCTGTTGTGCTTATTAGTAAAATGTGAAGAACTTGACCAGTTGTCGTGCTTGACCGAATTGCTGTGACTAGAGCTTTGCTTATGGTAATAGCCTTTCTGTACTAGAGAACATAATATAAGGAGTAGGCAAAAAAAACATCTTGACTTTGTTCATAGCACATGGGGTGATGAGCACTGACCTTTGTTCACAAAAATGCTAACTTTAAAACATAGGAAAGTAGGATGATTGAGTGCAAATCCATACCATGAGATAAATTGAGCTCTGTAATGTAAATCAGGTGAAATAGTCATGATTCTATGTAATGTAAATCAGATGAAATAAATGTTCATGATTCTGAGATGTTATATTAAAGAAAAAAATTTTTAATTCTTATATATTTGTAGCAATGTTATCTTGAAAATGAATTATGTTGTAATTTAGTGTCTTTTGAATTACAGAGATGTATATGAAGTATTATCTGTAAAAATTGTTATAGTTGTGATACAGAGTATATTTCCATTCCAATAATATATCATAACTTAATAAATATTGTATTTTAGATATATTCTTTAATAAAATTTAGACTTCTATTTTGGCTTATTTTATCCTATGCTGGGCATTGGGTAATAATGGAAGAGCAAAATGTGTACTTTTATAACTCCTACTAATTCATTATTAATAATAAGCCATCATAATTGGGTATTCATAATTGTAGGAGTTTCCATAAAAGGAAAAACCTTGGAGGTCACGTACTATTTGCCAAGAGCTGTTTTAAGTGCCTTCTGAGCACTCACTCATGTGACCTTCATGAGAACCCTACAAGAATGAATCCTGCAAGGGAGAGAGGAACTGGTTAGACTCAAAGCAGCAAGGTAGAGAAAGGTATATATGCGGAATCAATGTATATTCCCTGGAAATAAAACAAATAAAAGTTCATTTTATTTAAAGAAGGGAATTCAAGTGGTACCCACAAGTAAAAGAATAATTTGAGTTTTAGAAAGGTAAATTATACTCTTTACAGATAGGAAGAAAAAAGAATACATGAAATCAATATCTCCCACTATTATGACTGTTCTGGATTTAGCTGTGTGCCTGGACCATAGAATGAATTTTTGGCTGATGAGTTATTCTGGAAAGCCAAGTTTAACACATAACTCAAGTTCTACCTTCAAAGAATAAAACCTCTTTGTTACTTGAGATTAAAAAAAAAAAAAAAAGGTCTCTAAACTCATGGTGCCTAGGTGGCTCAGTCGATTAAATGTCTGACTCTTGATTTTGGCTCAGGTCATAATCTCAGGGTCATGAGACTGAGTCCTGCATCGGGCTCTGTGCTGAATGTGGAGCCTACTTAAGATTCTCTCTCCCTCTGCCCTACTCACTTTATCTCTCTCTCAAAAAAAAAAAAAAAAAAGTCTCTAAGCTCATTTACACCCCTCACTTGCTTTACTAAAGAACTATGCTGAGTTTTGTGTAAGAGAAAGATCACAAGCTTTGGAGCTCGATTTGTTTTGAATCCCAGCTCTTCTCAACCTCTCTGATCCTAGCTATAAAAAGAGGATAACACCCAGGATTGTGATAATTATATGAAGTAATGTCTGGTGTATTGGAGGTGGTCAAAAATACTTTTTAAACTTTGTGTGTGTGTGTGTGTGTGTGTGTGTTATTCTGTTAACTGTACCATCAATTTTTCTTGGTTTCCCGGAATGAGGCTTCTCCTCTAATTCACTTTTTATTGCTTTGGGTATGGAACCCCTATAGCCAACCTTAACTGGAATTGTTTGTAAACTAAAAGTAAACCTACTTCAGGTGAATTGCTGAGGATCTCTTCCAAACATAAAATGAAGAGTTTAATTTGTGCATATTTTTACATATTGGCTTTCAGTTATATACTGAACCAGAAACTTATCAACAACTGAGTTCTATATATAGATGAATTATTATGTGCTTGGCACATAACAGATGATCTCCAAATACTGCAATAAAAACATTTATTTCACTCTTAGTTAAAATTAATTTTAACCAGGAGATACTATTTTCTGAGTTTTTTGAGAAAGTTTTTTGTCATATTTGTAATGTGCCACAAACTATTCTAATTTATGTAAGTGCTTATCAAATGTTCCATCAAAATATTCCTTAAAGCAGAGAAGTATAGTCTTAGTACTCAGGCACAGTTTGAAACAAACCATTGCTTCTTTAAAGTCTCATTTTTTTTTTTTTACTAAATGTTTTCAAATTTTACATTCTACTCTATCTTATAACCACATTCATCTTTATTATAAAATGTTTCAACTGGCTTATTATAGTTACTGAAATTGGCACTCTGGGAATGTTTATCCTGCAACTTATTACTTCTGGTCATCAGGTGTACCTGCTGAGACCCTGAAAGTCCCAGTTTGAGAAGTGTAACCTAATAATAAATATTGAGGATTTTGATTATGTTTGTTCTTCAAGGACAATCGTTCGCTTTAAATAAAGTGTGTACCACCTTAATGGATATCATAACTGGTGTTAGCATGTTTAGAAAATGTATTTGAGGGACACCTGGGTGGCTCGTTGGTTAAGTGTCTGCCTTCGGTTCAGGTCATGATCCCGGGGTCCCGGGGTTGGGCTCCCTGCTTCTCCCTCTCCCTCTGCTCCTCCCCCTGCTTGTGCTCTCTGTCTCTGTCTCTGACAAATAAATAAATAAAATCTTTTAAGAAATGTATTTGAATTCCTCTTTTGACTTTCACTGAAAGGGTCCCATGTCAGTTATTCACACTCAGTTAGAAGGGAGGGGGCATAAAGGATACTGTCGTAGGCAGAATGATGGCCTTCCAGAGATGCCTATATCCTTGTCCTCAGAACTTGGGACTACATTACCTTAGCTGGTAAAAGGGACTTTCCAGGTGTGATTCAGTTAAAGATCTTGAGATAGGGAGATTATCCTGTGGGTCCAAATTAATTACAAGGGTTCTTAGAAGAGGGAGGAAGAAGGTCAAAAGCAGAAGGAGATGGGATGAGAGAAGCAGAGACCGGAGTGATGTGGCCACGAACAAGGAATGCTGGCAGCTTCTAGAAAACCAGACTCCCCTCTGGAGCTTCTAGAAAGAACCAGCCCCACTGACATCTTAATTTGAGTCTCAGAAGACTCCTTTTGGACTTCTGACCTCTTGAAAGGTAGCACAATAAACCTGTATTATTTTAAGCCCCAAAGTTCGTGGCTAACTCGTTACAGCAACAATGGGATAGTCGTAGATACCCTGGGTTAACATGGGAAATCCATATGAGAATAAGCTGTGGGTAGCCAGAAGCTTACCAGCCCAGCCTCGGGGCCCTGGTGGTGATTATTCCCTTTGCCCAGAATGTCCTTTCTCTCCATCCCTAATTGTGAAATCTTAACCATTCCTGGATGCCGAGCTCAAATATCAGCTCTTACCACTGACCCTTATCTCTCATTTGGGAGAGTTTGTGCTTTTGTGGCTTCTGACATCCATGACCACCTCGACTTGGTGCTATAATTGTGATGGTGGCCATTTCCCTATTGGTCCTGGGAGCTCCTGGAAGGCAGCTTGTCTTTCACCCCAGGGTGCTGTGTATGTAGCTGGTGTTTGGTATGTGTGCGTTGGGTGGCATTAGGAAAAGCCTTCTGAGGGGAGTAAACTTTGTCTTAGATCTGAAATAAGTGGAGTGGGTGAAGGGGGAGGAGAAACCTTGTCTCCTACATGCACTCCATGCTTCGTGGGCATAGACAATGTAGTTCTATTTACACTATTTACTACGGTTCATTTCCTCTTCCCTAGGATCACTCTCATCTCTAATTCTACACGTAGTGGGGCAGGGTAGTTGAAAACTCAAACCTGTTACTAAACGTCATCTCAATATACTCTGGTTTAAGCAGGTTTTTTAGATTTTTTTTTTCAGGATTTTATTTATTTGAGTGAGAGAGAGAGAGAGCATGAGTGGGGTGGAAGGAAGGGACAGAGGGAGAGGGAGAAGCAGACTCCCCGACTGAGCCACCCAGGCACCCCCTTAGATTTCTTATCTCTACTCCCATCCCAACCCACACAGATGGTGCCTTGGTGACAGGTGAGCAGGCCTGGATGGGTAAGTTGTCCCCTAGATTCTTGTTGGCCTCTGCCATGGAGGGCTTGGCCTAGGCTGGCCCTGTACCAATCTGTGTCTGCTGACATGTTTCATCAGGTCTTTGGAGATGCCTCTAGCTGAACTGCTCCCTACCATTGTCTCGGGTTGCACAGTCCTGAACTTGCCGGGGACACAGGGACAACTTACCTCTTCTGATCCTAGGTCCTGGAGTTCTAGATTTCCCTCACCACCCAGATTTGGCCCTGAAAGACTGCATGTGTGGAGGGGGAAGGGAATGACAGCCTCAGTACCTGACATCTTTGCTTCGGCTCCCCTTGACACTTTACGCTGCTCAGAAAAGGCAGCTGTCCCTTCTTCCTGTGTGACAGGAGCTTCCCTTATACTCCGCTTCCTTCTGGAGGCCGTGTGCTCTAGGGTCACAACAGCTGACAAACTGCCCAGAAAGAAAATTGGTTTCATGATAGGGGAAGGTCCATTGGAAAATATTTTTAAATTCCTATATACATTACACCTGGCAACAGGTCGCCCCTGAAGGCTTCAGACGGTTTCTTTAGTCTGTTTGGTAAAATCTAATAGAAAGGAAGAAATTTAATTTGTGTTTCTTCCCCTTTTCTCCTCATCCTCTCTCTGCCCCTGATCCCTACCTTCATTATGAGGGAATATAGAGCTGAAATATGTAAAAAAAAAAAAAAAAAAAAAAAAAAATAGTATCATTACCTCTCATCTAGTATTTTTACCAGTTTGGTGGAATGAACCAAAGAGAACCCTGAAGGCTCTGATACTGAAAAATTCATGTTCCACAAAAAGAGAATTATTCAATTTCCTTTAGGATGGGTCAGGATGGGGCTTCTATGGGATTTGGGGGGGAGAACCACACCATATTGGCTTGAGACCACATCCAGCACCTCTGATGGAATTATATATGCAGAGCCTCATCATGGCCTCATTATCAAGGACTTTTTTTATAAGTAGAGATGCTTGGAAAAGGTTTAGGAACAAACTTTCAGCCCTCAGCTGACAGGGGCCTGTGATTGCCTTAGGAGAGAGTGGATCCAGTGCACACTGGGCCCCCTGCACACCCACCTTTATGGTGGCCGGAACCGCCCGCTTCTGCTGTCCAAACCTGTGGCCCCAGGCGTCTGAAGGTTTTCTCCACACACGTTGTCTTTGGAAAGAGAAATGTCCCTGATGTTTTTAGAGAAGGTATTTTTCCTGGTCCTCCTCCTAGAAGGATGTTTCTGGCTTGTTTGGCAGGGGTCAACATGCTCGCCCAGGGCAGGTCTCCCCAGTGCTCATTCACCAGTCCATTCTCTCCCTCCCTTCACTCCACCTAGGTTTCCACTTTCTAAAAGATTTCAAGTCTGCAGGCTTTGTCTGGAGTCTATTGTTAGAGAGTTCTGGCAGGAAGAATGATGCCTTTCAGCCTTGAGATCTCTGCATGCAACCCATATGTAGAACTCCAAAACAATTTTCTGTTTTACACACACACACACACACACACACACAC